TCCCGCCTCCCACAAACACCCACGCTTGTCCCCCATTGCCATATTTAAAAAAAAAAAAAAAAAAAAGAAAAAACACGATGTGATGGCACGATGTCGCCACATGTCCAACTTCGACATAATGACGCCATCATCAGTGACATCACCGTCAAGGCATCATCGTTAAACATTATCATCAACCACGATGGTGTTGTCATGGCGAGGGACATCGCTGTGACTTCCCTGTTTGTGTCACAAAATGGAGATGATGTAACGATGATGTCATGACAACAATAATGTCTTGCTGTGAATGGTGTTAACGTGAATGATAGCGTGATGACTAATTCACGGTGACATCAGGTCACATGTTGATGACCTAACAGGTGATGCGTCACTTTGATGACATCACTGCAGTGTCACTCACCGGTCGTTCTCCGGACTGTAACACTCCACGGAGTTTAAGGAGGATTTTCCATCGTAGCCTCCGCACACGTAGATTTGTCCGTCAACAACCACCGTTCCCATGGCACTGTGGATGACATCATCACTCGGACCCATTCTGACCTTATCAGTCATCAGTGACATTAGAATCAGCAGTGATCAAAGGTCAAGTACCGATCAACGCTCACTGGCTCATCACTGTCAGTATTGATTTGGGATGCACTGAATTTTCTTCTACTGAAAATCTGCAGTCGGGGGGAGACGGAGAAGCTGACAGCAGTGTTCAAGATGAGGGGCGGGGACCCTGGTTGTCTGATCTGTTCTGTGAGATCCTGACAGAGAGTTCCTCTAATAATCAGACTGTTATTAGACTGTTCTGTTCTGACTTTCTGATTTCTCTGCTCCACATTTGACAATCATTCATTTATCATTGATTTATTATGAAGTGAATCAATCATTGATCCTTGATTTTACTGAGCATCAGTCACATGGCACTAATCACTGACTTGGTTTTCTCATTTTCTGTTTTCATTTTCGGCCAAGAATTTTTATTTCAGTGCATCACCATTATTGATTATCACTATTGATCAACAACTACAGATCAAAGGTCATCGGTTTGTTTCAGTTTGGGTCAGTGCTGATTCTTACCTGCGCTGGCTGTTCATACTGGAAACTTTGGTCCACGTGTCTGTCTCTGGGTTGTACACCTCTACTGTCCTCAGCCGTGATTGGCCATCGTATCCACCAATGGCATACAGCAGTCCATTAACTACAGCCACACCCACTCTGCTGCGAGCTGTCCTCATCGGCTGACAGCGTTCCCAAATGTTTCCGATGGGATCAAAAACCTCAACGACGTTCAGCGAGTCACCTGAAAAAAATGGTGAGAATGCAAGACTTTGATGTCGTACTTGAAGCTGTCAAAGGTGGTAGGTGTAGTTACAGTTGTACCTGAGCTGTTCAGCCCTCCCACTGCGTAGATGAGTCCGGTGATGGATGTGCAGCAGCGCTGGCGAGTTTTGAAGTCTGCGAGTCGAGGGCGGCGCTCTGGCATCAGGTGGAAGTCTTTGGCCTCGTCCACCAGGTCTCTGAGAGGTTCAGACCAACCAATCAATATCATTGACAACATTGTGACGTCACACCGAAGCCACACCCACGGGCGCTCACCTGCATCTGTGGCAGCAGCGTACAAGTTCGTCCTGCTGCACTCGGTCAGAGAGGAACTGAGGTCGACAGAGAGGAAGGCGAATCTTCGACAGTAACTCCGGAAGCAACAACTCTCGCCGTTTGCGATCGTGATAGACCCAGGCCAGCACCGCCTCAAAAACCTGAGCAGGTGACACCATTAGACCCCACCCCCAGGACAGCTGGATTACACTCTTCCAGAGCTCAGTCTCACCTGCTCCTCTGTCTCCACGTTGAGTTGGTCACAACCGACCAGCTCCAGAACTTCCTCAGCCCTCAAACCCAAAAACTCCTCCGACACAGAAACGTCCACAAAGTGCTGATGCAGGAAGCTGCTCGCCGAGTCGTAGAGTGTTGTACACATCATGGTCTCCGCAAACTGTCGTACGCCAAGGCAGTTTTTGGGATGTAACCTGAACACAGATAGTGGTTCAAGGACAAGCCCCATGTCAGCTAACTGTGAAAGGGTGTAGAACCAATGCTCACCTCTCCTGCAGGAAGGAACAGCAGGCGTCCTTCACATTCTGCAGCTGAAGAAAACTGGAACCGATGAGCAGGGACTGAACATTTTGTTGGTCGATGGCCACGTGTCCACTGTAGGCGAAGTTTATCAGAGCCTCCAGAGCGCTGCCGAGAGACGGAGGCTGTAATCTGACCACACTTGGTAATCTGACGTAATCTGACGTTACAGCATAACATGATGAACCAGCTGGTTAGATCAGGTTGAACAACAGTTCAAGTCACTTATGTCTGAATCACACTTTAACTTTATGACTGTGAGACGAGCGGCTTTGTAAACAACAACAACAACAGATCATTGCTGTGTTCCTCATTTGTTAAATATCATTGTCTTTCTGTCAGTCCTGCTTGTAATTGGTTACCTGGGGTCCATACCCTGCATCAGGATCTCGTCCTGTTTACACTCCACCATGTCGTTGGTGAACATGGCGTGAAAGTAGGGGATCGATGCTGCCAGGACGATACGATGAGCGCTGAACTTATGCTCACCCACCTGTGAACACACAATAAAACCTTACTGAAGATGACGTCACACACACGCCATACACTTGATACACGATCACGTGACTGAGACACCTGCTGCTCACTAACCCACGCACCCGTTGATGAACAACAAGACACGCATCGTCGATGAAAGTGCGACTAATAAAGTGGCGGATGAACCGAAGACGTCGAGCTGCTGGTGCTGTCTTTGCAGTAAGACGCTGGTTAGCGGTTAGCTTCCTCAAGTTAGCTTTAGCCGTACGCCGTTTACCCCAACCTTGCGCCACTACCGCTTCACATACCTTCAGTGTGACGTCACAGAGCTTTCCCTGACGTCGAATCTCCTCCATGACGACGTAGCCTCGCGCCGGGAGGTCGTGTACAGAGAAATGAACCAAATCCTCGAGCTCTTCACACACGACGTCACCCATCGTCAGCGTGAGTGGCACAGCACACCCGTGACGTTATCGCCGCCGGCGGAAGAATCGCCGCACTCAAATTTTCACAATAAAAGACCCGGACTCGCTTCAAATTATTTTAGTTGTCTCCGTGTTACAGGATTTCTGTCAATTCTGTCAATTCAATTTTGTTGTGGGACATAACTTAGGTTTCGATTTTACTCTTTTAAAGACAGCTTGTATTGTTTGTTTGGCAATAATACGCCGATCAACGGATGATTGATTAGTTGTTGTACGAATGAACTGAAACAGAGCTGTTTAGTTCCACCTTAAGGACGGTTTGGTGCTGGGAACAGGGGGGGGGGGGCGGAGGGATGGGGGTGATATCTGTGGGGTCAACCATCAAAAGAAAAGACAGGCACAAAAAGGAAGTGAGGAGCTCTATAGGAGGCACTGGTGGTGACCCAGGATGGAGAGGATTAGCAACGATCCAATCATTGGAGCCGCTGAGGTTGAAGACTTTGGGGATGTTGGACTGACCAGGATGTAGTGGATGAAATGGTACAAGTCACGGGACAGTTAGGGTTAGCGGTGCAACGTGGCTCTGGTTCTGTAAGTCACCTTCTGATGCTGGAGGATTCTGGGATATGTCACAACAACTGCAGCATCTGTATCTACTGTGGTCTACATGGGCAGGAGAACAGTGTCACTGGGATTTTCTCTCCCTTCATCCAATGACATCGCAACTACTGGGAATGACGTGACCCTGGACCGGGGGTCGGGACCATCCTTCACGTCTACCATGGTTAAAATACGAAAACAAAGTCAAAGTTAAAAACTAAATGAACAGCAGGATTTAGACAAGCAAATTCATCCCCTGGTGGGAGGTCAGTGGAACTGCTGCTGCCCTGGTTTTGTAACTTTTATTTTAAAAACCCTTCAGCCAATCCACTGCAACCCCATCAGACAGAGCTGTTTACTAAGAAACCTTTATTCACATGTGCTGGGCTCTGAGTTTTCAGCTTCCAGAAGCTTGAGTCTCAGAAGGCCTCGTTTCCTGTCCCTCCAGGCAGAAAAAGCAGCTGGATAGTAGCACTTTGTTTGATGGTCTAAAAACTGCTCTGACCCCCCCTGCCCCCCTATCACCTCCCTTTCTGTCCCCTCCCTTCTGTTCCCTTCCACCAAAGTGACTTTACCTTCAAAGTGACGTGAAACTTTCATAACCTGTATGTAAATAAACGTCCATCTCTGAGTCAAAGTAAAAAACCAAACGGGCGAGACCACATCAGTGGGATCCATTAAAGCCAGTAACTGATCCAAGCTGAGGGGCGAGGCCTGCCCTGTGTCCTGCATGTGATGTGTGCACATCAGTCTTTCACGCTGACAAGTCGCTGCTCTCAAAGCGTTCCTGGTCGTACATTTGGGCTTCGACCTTACGACCTCCAAACCAGCGCTGGTCCAGAGCCTGGATGGCCCGGTTCATCTCAGATGCCTCTGCAAACTCCACAAAGATCTTGACAATGACGTCAGCATCATCCTCCTCACCCTGACGCTCCTGGTAGATGATGACGCGTTTGACCTGACCAAACTTCCCACACTCCTCTGTTACCTCGCCCTCTAGGTCGTCATCGATGTCGTCAGGCCCGACCATATTCCTCAAGACCATGACTGATGACTGAGGGAGAGAACACGTCATTAGCACCCAACTACAACCAAGCAGCTGTTAGCAATGACACTAGCACAAGCTAAGTTAACAACTTTGAAGAACTGAGATTAAAATTAACACATTTAAATTTGAACAAAGCAGTTTGTTAAGTCAGGAAAAACCAGACCAGAGTCAGTTACTAAGTGTGACACACTAGCTGTAGCATCATGGTTGGTGGGCTTGGCCTCTGTGGGAGGGACTAAAACACCAGTGTCACTGGGCGGAGACTGTGGTGTACATGAGGGAGCGGTGTTTCAGTGGGCGGAGTCACCTCCTGCTGTCGCAGCAGCTTCCTCATCACCATGTGTCGTGCACTGCTGCCACTGATGCTCATGTGCTCCTGTTCACTCAGAGGCTCAGTGCCTCCGTCCTGCAGCGCTTCCTCCTTAAGCTCCGCCTCCTCCTCTCCCCCCTTCACCTCAGAGCTCACGGATGCAGCCTGGTGGGGGGGCGCTGCCAACACAGGGTTCACCAGACCCACCTGAGGGAGGCCGGGTCGAGCCGGTGTCACACCTAAAAATGACAGGAAAAGGACAAGGTGTCACCTGTCTGAACCACTACCAATCAGAATGCGTTCTTGGTAAACACGTTTTGGAATGACCCATGTTCCAGTTCAGACTCCCGGCCCAGTCCTGGTCTTTGCAGTGGGAGCGGTCTACTGAATGGCGGTCTCACCTGTGATAACCCCTGGAGCCTGGGCAGCCATGACAGCCTGAGGCAGTCCAGCTGCCAGGAGGGCTGGAGCAGTCAGAGCTCCCAGCATGGAGACTCCAACTCCGTCCTGGTGCAGAGAACATACACATGTCAGTGGAAAGTTCCTGTTTGAAAGAGTCAAAGGTCATCAGGACATTCTGGACACTTTCACTTCTCTGACTCCACCTCTGTTTGTGTACCTGAGCAGTGATCTTGGCGCTGGCAGTGGCTGCAGCCATGGCCGCAGCGGCAGGAAGCCCTCCAGGGGGGGGCGCAGGAGTAAGGAGGGGAATGGGAGGAGTCACAGCCTTTCCAACCCTTAGATACTGACCACCAAGGTCAAACAGGTTCATGGAGGCCACGGCGTCCTGAGCTGACTGGGCTTTCTCATATTCTGAGAAGTTTTTTTTTTAAATAGTAAAAAAAAAACTTTAAGGTCAGAGGTCAGTAGAGGTCACAGAGGTTAGTTTAGGCTGACACTGACACACACTCACCGATGAAGCCGTATCCTCTGTGTCGTCCTGTTGTCGGCTCTCGAGATAAGATACAGGACTTGATTTTTCCAAAAGCTTCGAAGACGCTGCGAATGTCGTCATCAGAAAGATCCACGTGAAGAGACGCCACGTAGATTCTGTTGAAGGCCCGAGCTTCTTCTGCCAGCTGATCAATGATTGGCTGAGCCTGACCAATGTTACTGGGACGACCCACCTGTTGACAAGCACCATGTCAGACCCAGACTGGACTAGACCAAGTGGACTGAGCTCCTGTACACTGGTCCACAGGGTACCTTGATGTTTCTTCCTCCTAAAACCACTGAGTTCATCTGTTCCAGAGCCAGCTGAGCAGCTTCAGGAACCTCGTACTCCACGAAGGCGAAACCCTGAGCGAGGACACGGAGAAGTGAGAGAACAAACACACACACACACACACACACACACACCGACGGACACACTCACACACCTTGTGTTTCATGGTGACAGAGTCGAAGGACATGTCAATGCTCTTGATTGGTCCAAATGGAGCAAAGGCCTGTCTGATGGTGTCCTCGCCCAGCTCGTAATAGATGGAGCCCACATAGACGCGACACATAATGGCCAGAGCCCGCTGACGCTGGGAGGAGACCTACAGAGGTCACAGGTCACAGGTCAGACAAAGGTGTAGAAAATCAGGATTAACCTGAAACATGACTCACCGACTGCAGTGGAGACAGAGCATCACCCAGACCCATGGTGAGAGAGGCCATCTGAAAACAACAGACCACAGGTTGGACCACAGGTTGGACCACAGGTTGGACCACAGACTGACCAGATGTAGACCTAAGTCTAAGCTGGGACTCAGCTGTTTACCTGCAGACTGCTGAGCTGCTGCTGCTGAGCCAGTGTTTGTTTGACCAGAACATTCCGGATGCTCTGTTCCATGGCATATTTCTTGGCCTGCACATAGGAAACAGCCAATCACTGTTCAGATTAGACAGCGTTAGCAAAGGCCCCGTCCACACAACCGCAGTGCCTCCTGACCTTCTGCAGTGCCTCCTGCTGGTTGGGCGTCAGTGGCGGTAGACCCAGCTTGGTACTGCTACTCTGTCCGTTCTCCATGACGTGAGTCGGCGCCCCCTGTCAACAACAAAGCCACAGCATCAGCCAATCAGAACATTTAATTGAAACCCTGTGTTTACACAGACAATAACTGTTTTGCAGGATAAGTGGACGTTAGCCGTAGATCAGGGTTCGATGTCCAACCACGGCCATGAGACGAAACTCCTCTGTCGTGGTTTTTAACTTAACATTCACGTTAAGTTGGCTTCTGTTAGCAAACCTGTGACTCTCGAGTGAACGCCGTGTAGGCGCCGTACACATGTAGCTAAAACAGCTCAACTGTACTGTACTGTACTGTACTGTACTGTACTGTTTGGTTATAAAAGTGGTGAGACTTTATTTCACAGTCACAGCTAACTACAAAGTGTGGACATCTGCAGACTTTTTCAGCTGCAGGTAATGGGATGAGGAGGTCGTTCAACAGCACAGTCTACAGACCTCCCGGGTGAACTACACACGCTGTTTAACTTGTCCGTGGATCTTCACCAGCTGTGGAGAAATTGGACGACATCCGGGAAACTTTCATTGCAACCTCCACATTGGGAAATAACAAGTGTGTAAGTGGGTGAACGAAAACATGCTTTGACCAATCACGGTCACAGCCTAGCTTAGCAGCCGAATTGCTGTGGATGAGCGTGAAGGCAGCAGTTCTCCAAACTTATCATCATGTGCTGCAGGTTCTAATCATTCAGGTCAAAACAGGCGATCACTCTGATCGATTCTTGACGTCGTATTCGCGTTTGTTCACGTCATCGGTGGTCTACTGGTTCAGTAGTTAGCATTACTTGAGCTAGGTTGTGCGCTCGGGGTAACAGTTAGCTGGGGCTAACAGATAACGTTTTTTCTTACCGCAGAAAGCACCGCCGCCATTCACCTGACGCTCGCTTCGATTTTGGATCAATAATAGTGTTTGTAATTTTTTCTGTAGCTTCGACCAGTGGAAGCACAACGTCACTTCTAAGTCATTTCCTACTGAGGAGCAGCTTTCAAAGTAAAAGCCGTGAAAACACGTAATTCTTAAAACGATGATACTATGCCGCAGTTTTTCTCAAATAGGGGGTCGGGCCGCCCATGGGGACGGGTCGTGAGGGGCTTCCAATGGAATATGGCACGCTGGACATAAGTAAACCACTGCTGTAATGCTTGAACGCTAACAAGCCTCTAGGTGGCAGCAACTCATACAGTGGTTAGCACAGATAGAAATATACATGTTATCAGGTTCTCAGTAGTATTTCAATTCGCGGGGGGGTGGGGGGGGCGGAAAATAATTGAGATCCACTGCATTAGCAAAGTAAATAATAGTGAATATTAACCTGGCGTTTTCTGAGTGAGTTTTTATTTTATTAACTTTTATTAAAACGTGATGAAGACGAATCATTTACTCATTAAAGTCTCTTCCATCTGTATGTGAACCAGAACATTTCAGTACATCAACAATCTCCAAATAAGTGGCACCGGTCCTATCACAGGACCAGATACAGCAGGTCTTCTGGTCCATGGGGGTAGAACCCTACAGAGAGGGTTCCTGGTGTCTTTTTAATAATGGGTAAAAGGTCAACTTAGAACCCTGGTTTCTTCAGAATGTCAGACAATCTTGACCTTGAAGGTTTCAAAAGGGCATTTCTCCAGAGATCTGTTGGCCCTCCAAGTGGTCCTGGTTCTCGTCCTTGTTCCTCCTCTCCTGGTTCCAGTTCTTCAGACCTTCTGGCAGAGTTGTGTCCTCCTCCAGACTTCCAGTTCCCTCCACAAATTCTTCATACGTCGACTTCTCAGCAAACGGGCGTTTTCCCAGCAGTTCAACCATGTCATTCTTATCCAGCACCTCTTTCTCTAGCAGCCGTAACGCCACCTTCAGGAGACCAAAGGAACAAAGAGAGAGGCATCAGAGCTCAAGGCAAACCACTGCTCCAGGAAAGCCCCGCCCTCTCTCTTGGCTCCACCCATTATCCAATCCAGCCGAGTTAATTTTTAATCTGCTTCTGGGCAGGGTCAGTAAATTTATAAATAACAATAAGTCCTTGTTTTTACCCTTTGTTTTCAGTATATAAGTTATTCATCATTATTATTTATTCATATTAAATGAAATATAATTTTACAAAAAAATATCCTTAACATGAAGTGCATTTTTTATTTTCAAAATTCATCAAGTGGGCCTGATTGAACACACTAGCGGGCCAGATTCGGCCCACAGGCCGTATGTTTGACACCCCTGATCTAGAGCATTTGTATAAAATGAAAAATTAAAATGAAATTTGTTAAGCTCCTTTTATGCTTTAATTTTTGGCAATTTGGGGAGTGTGCGTTCCAATAAAGGCCATCTAGTGGCATCAATCAAAAATGCAGTTGATGCATTGCCATGCAGGAAAAAGAGAATTTCAAATCTTTACCATGAGATGGAGAACTGTGTACCAGTGTGTTATGGACCAGGGCAGAAGGTTTGACCATGCCCTAAGTCCTGGTTCCAGGTACCTTTTCAACTTCTGGTCTCTTGTTGCTGAGCAGCTGATGGGTTCTCTGGTAGGCCTGGCTGATCAGGGTTCTGACTTCGGTGTCGATGAGTCGAGCTGTGGCTTCACTGTAAGGTTTCTCCAAAACCACCTCACCCTGACGAGGAAGGTCAAAGGAAACCTGTCCCACCTTCTCATTCATCCCAAACTGGACAATCTGCAACGGAACACACAAAACTGCCAGTGACCCGGGATCGAACATGAAACACAACCCAGGAGAAAAGGTCCTGGTCAACGGTTCAAACGCAGGGTTAGTCAGTAATGTAATGACACAGTGTCACATCCAGGTGTCCAAGTGCTTCTGTGGCAGCTGACCTGAGCATAAGCACTCTGGGTGACCTTTCTCAGGTCATCTTGGGCTCCAGTGGTGATCCTCCCAAAGAAGATCTCCTCAGAAACCCGTCCTCCCAGGGTCATACACATGCGGTCCAGCAGCTGCTCCTTGGTGTAGAGGTACTGCTCCTTGGGCAGGTACTGAGCGTAACCCAGACCCTTACCCCTAGGGATGATTGACACCTACACACAGAGCAACATCAGAACCTGGACCTTTGCTCCAGAGGAACCCGTCAGAACCAGAGCAGAAAATCAATGAGTCTGACCTTCAGAAGTGGGTCTGCGTGCTCCAGAAACCATCCAGCCACCGCGTGACCGGCTTCGTGATATGCTACCGTCTTCTTCTCCTCCGGCTGCAGAACTTGTGTCTTCTTCTCCAGACCTTCATCAGAGACCACAACAAGATTAGGGCCTGGTCTTGGACTATGGGTCCAAGTCTGGTATCAACTAAGACTTGGACGGGGACACAGTCTGCTCTCAGTCTGAAGGTAGTTCTGAGAGCAGTCGGGTCCGGTCATCCAGGTCACTCACCTCCAATCACCCTCTCGATGGCCTGTTCAAAGTGTTTCTGGTTGATGGCGTCTGAAAGGTGGCGAGCGGCAATGAGCGCTGCTTCATTGCAGACGTTTGCGATGTCTGCCCCTGGTGGACGGAAGAAGAGTCAGCGAACAGCGGAGGAGGAGGAGGAGAAGGAGTGATGAAGGAGAAAAACAGGAAGAGCAGGTGTTCACCTGAAAACCCGGGCGTCAGAGCCGCCATCTTCTTAGCCAGAGCGTCTTTGTCCAGACTGTTCTCCAGCTTCAAAGGGCGCAGGTGGACTTTGAAGATTGACGCCCTACCCTTGATGTCAGGAGGACCTGTTCCACATAGAGAAAGTCAAAACAGGTCAAGTGATGATGTCATCTCTGTGTATAACCTGACCTCTGACCTATGTAGATCTGCCGGTCAAAGCGTCCCGGTCTCAGCAGCGCTGGATCCAAGATGTCGGGTCTGTTGGTTCCCGCCAGAACCACCACGTTGGTGGCTGTGTTGAAGCCTAAAGTACAGGGTCAGGGTTAGGGTCAGAGTTCATCCAGGTCAGGCTGCAGCCTGGCTGGTTGTCGACCCACCGTCCATCTCCACCAGCAGCTGGTTCAGGGTGTTCTCCTGCTCACTCTGACCTCCAAAGTTCCCTCGCCCTCTTTTTCGGCCCACGGCATCGATCTCATCAATGAAGAGGATGCAGGGGGCGTTCTTCCTCGCCATGACAAATAGATCTCTCACCTGCACAGGAAGTGACATCAGCAAGAGCCATGACCTTGTCAGCAACAGAACGTGCCGTTTGGCCGCACTGCACTGTCGTCACATGATTAAAGCCGGAGGTTGGGACTCACCCTGGCTGGGCCCACGCCCACAAACATCTCCAGGAACTCGGAACCGTTGACAGTGATGAAGGGAACGTTGGCCTCGCCCGCTGTCGCCTTGGCCAGGAGAGTCTTCCCTGTTCCCGGAGGACCGGTCAAGATGGCGCCCTGTGGACAAACCACAGCTTTAGCCTCACGTCAAATTGTGAATATTAGTTGCGCTTCCCACACAGGGCACCAGAGGTCAGAACATCCGAGTGTGAACATGTGACCAAAAGAGAGTAACATTTGGGAGGAGACGAGCTTCAGAAATGAAAGAACGTCACCTGAACAGAAGGTGGAACCAAGTGTTCACCTGAGGCATCAGAACCTTGGACTGATGTCTGGTGAACTGGACATGGACCGGTTGGAACCCCGACATCTGACCCATGGTGGGCCGCTCCACCTTCTTACCTTCGGTATCTTGGCGCCGAGGTCCTGGTACTGTTTAGGATTTTTCAGGAAGTTGACAAACTCCATGATCTCCACTTTGGCCTCTTCACAGCCGGCGACGTCTTTGAACTTGACGTCAATCTCGTCTTTTAGGATCTTGGCCGTGGTCTCACTAACGCTGAAGAGTCCGCCCATCCCCCGGCCAGACCGACCCGGACCTCCGAGTCCTCGCCGAAGCATGAAGAGCAGGAAACCGATGATAAGCACAGTGGGGAACATGCTTAGGAGGAAGGTTCTGGAAAGACCAAGAACCCATTCAGACAAAAGACTCACATTATAGGGGATTTAACAGAAGGGGCGGAGCCACCGACTCACCCATCACTCTCAGTGGAGTAAACCACGGGCAGCTTGTTCTCACCCTCAACTCCCAGCTCGTACTGCGCCGTCTCCAGGTTTCGCTCAAACGTGTCCACGCTGCCAATGTTGAACCAGATGAACTGCTGTGGACACAGGTCACATGACCACCGAGTCAGGTGACCACGTTTCAGTTTAAAACCGACAAAGAAGAATGATTTAAGATATGATGCCACAAAAGAGGCGGAGCCTCTAACTCACCCCATCCATGGGTGCCTTCCCTGGAGAGAAAATCACTTTAACGTAACGTTTGTTGACGACTTCCAGTCGGTCCACCTGGCAGACACAGACAGGGACACAGACAGGGACACAGACAGGGACACAGACAGGGACACAGACAGGGACACAGACAGGGACACAGACAG